AAACATGCTGAACCAGAAGAAAAGCTGAAATGAGCAGAAACATACTGAACCAGAAGAAAAGCTGAAATGATCCGTTCAAGATTTTAAACAGCTCAAAGGGTGTGAAGGATGTGGCCAGCAAAGCTGAATGTTTCAAAAAGTAAAACTTGCACAAATGTCCTGAATGAGCTGAACGTTTTGAGACACGAATTGTTGACACAGAACAAAAATAGCAGAATATGTGATGAAAAATGCACCGAAGAGACGTGGACGTGAGAAAGATTTAGAAACATTCACACAACTAGAAGTAAATGTAAATTAAAACGCTTCATTTGAATTTTTTTCTCCGCTTAAAAAAAACCCAAACTACAACCCTAAACACTGACTGTTCCACAAACCCATATATTTATTCAGATTACTTTAGATAACGTGAATAATATTTTGCCCATTAAAAACTTTCTTTTCCTGAGTTTAGAAGGTTTTTCTCACTCCTACACAGAACTGGAGTTTCATTCAGCTCGTGCTTCTGGGTGCCTTTTCATCCTACATGCTCCACTTTAACATCCTGTGAAGAACAGTCTAAGAACATTCTCACAAGCTCCAGCTGCTACCAAGTTATTTTACTGATCCAACTCGTAGACGTGAGAGTCTCGTCTTGACTTACCGGTGTGGACAAACATGTGTTTGACGTAGTTCTGTTTCGCAGTAAAGGTTTTACTGCAGAGAGTGCATTCGTAGGGCTTCTTCTCCCCGGGGCCGATCCCTCCTGCAGCCTGCTGTTGCTGAGCTTGCACCTGCTGTACCGACATGGGGTTTTGGAATGATGGCATTGCAGGGGGCGGCACCGCCACAAACTGGGGTTGCTGCTGGCCAGGAAGGTAAAGGAAAGGCTTGTGGTCCCTAGCCGGCTGCGTGGGGAAGAGTGTGGGCAGGAAGGTGCTTCCAACGGTGCCCATCACTTGGGAGTTGCTGGTCACGGTGAGCGGCATCCTCAGGTTGCTGGTGTGTGATTCTATCTGGCGCATGTACTGCGACATGGGACTGAGTTTGACTGAGTTTGGCAGGGACTGCATCATGCTACTGTCACTAGTGCCGTGGGACGTGTCCCCGTCCTCCGTCTTTTGCATCTGCTCCGGGGACGAGTCGTTGACCTTTATCTGCACTGGAGCTCCGTCACCTTGCTGCCCGCCCCCGTCTCGGCCGAAGCTCATCAGGTACGACTGCTGCTCCATGGCGTCCGGCTCCGTGCTGATGGAGGAGCTCACCCCTGAGTCAAAACTTTCAACCTTGGACTCGCCCTCTACCCCCTCGTTGTGGTCGGTGTCGTCTTGGCAGTCCCCCATGTCGTCATAGCAGGTGTACTCGTCTTCAGCCTCCTCCTTGATGTGCATCCCTCCTGTCTGTATGCGTACCGGTCGGGGTTGCTTGCGGCAGTGGGTGGACTCTGCGGTGGACATGAAGCGATCGACCTGCTGCGATCTTTCCTGGATGCGGTTTATCCAGGGCGGATCTTGAGACTGCTGGTTCTTCTGGGTGCTCGCGTCATAATTTGCAGACAAAGGGTTAATAAAAAGGGGGCGCTCGCGGGTGCCGTTCTGCAGGGACAGGCTAGAGTAGGAGTAGAGTGACGTGTACGCCCGATCTACACTTTGCTGAGATGTTACTTGCATATAACCTGACTCTGCATCGCTGCTGGGCCCGGAGGTGCCAGACTCTGGCGTACCGCGGGGCGTTTCCTGGCCAGAGTCTCCTGGTATAACAGGGAACCCCCCAGGGCCTGCCAGACCCACATTCTGGGACACGATGCGCGTGCACTCATCGATGACGGTCTTGATCTGCAGGATGCTGGCAGCAGTGAGGATCTGCAGAGCTTCTGACTGGGACACTCGCAGGATTCCACTGTACATAAAGTCAATCAGCTTCTGGATGGATTGCACTGAGACCACGGAGGGGATCTCGATGTCGCTGTAGCCCAAGAGCAGCTTGTCCTGAAAGAAGGGGCTTCCAGCGGCCAGCACACACCGGTGAGCTCGCAGCATGCTTCCATGGATCCGAACAGTCACATCACAGAAGTGCCCGCGGTTGCGCTGCTCATTGAGGGTCTCAAGTACAGAATTGCTGAAGTTGTGGAGGTTGATGTTATGAATGCGCTCGGTCATCCCCTTGCAACTGATGTCACCTGCAGAGGAGCAACACACCTGACTGAAAACCTGCAACACGCACATTCACTGCTCTGCTCAACTGTGGTAAACACACACCTACAATGTCTCTATTTACTGTTTTAATACGTTTATTATTATCATTATTATTACAAATATCATGAAGCTTTTTTTGGTTGTTTGCAAATCGTTTTAGTTATGAATCATTAAATACTATTACTGCGAGTGGATGTGTAATAAATAAAGTTTTCTTCTGTGACGTGCAGAATTATTATAAACGGGCACAATGCATTTAATTAAAGGGCTATTTAAACAATAATAAAAAATATGAGCATTTATTCCTCAGTGCTGATGAAAACCTTAAAGGGAACCAGAGTTTTTAATGGAACGGCTGTTAAAATCTTCCATTTTGTTCTGGTAAAATTGGATTAAAATGGTTCTCATGCGAACCCTCCAAGTTTCTTTCGCTCGGCGTCTCTGAAGTTCCTCGCGCAGCCGCCAGGGGGCGCTCGGAGCTCAGAGGACAGCAGGCCTCCTTTGTCGGCCATGTGTTCCTGTCATGGCGCTTCCTGATTGTCTTTACACTAAATGTGACCTGGCTGATCAGGGATGACTGAAGGAGCTGCTCTTTTGTTTTGTTTTTTTAATTCAGTTAGTGGTTTAAAAAAATTAAAAGTCATCCAAATGAGAGAAAGTGCAAAACATGAAGAGTTACTGTAAAATTAATTCGGTTCCTGCGCAAATCTTTTCAACTATTTTTGTTTTTTAGGTTGTTGACTTTGACGTCAAGCAATTCTTTTGAAAAGACTAAATAAATGAGGGTGCTCTTTAAAAAAAATTATATACATATATATATATATATAAATGTAAATAGGCATGTAAAAACAAAACAGAATTTATAATAATTTAAAATATTTTGTCGACACAACAGCTGCCATTTTTGGTTTAAAAACACAATAATGAGAAGAACAATAAAACACAATTGTATTCGGAGGAGAAATCAACCTAAACATATAAAATCAGGTTTAAAAGTGACAAACTGGTTCGTTCAGTAAAAACAGAATTTAGCTGAAATTACATATTTAAAAAAAAAAAAAAAAAAGCATCAACACCAGATAACGGGTTCAAATCTGACTTCTTAGATTTTAACTCCAGAGAGAAAACATGAAAAAGAATCTGCCCAGTACTCACAGTTAGATGACGTTTGTTTCTTTTCTTGTCTTTTTGTGGAAATGCTTGTGACGGCTGGTGATGGAGTGTGGGTCAAGCGTTAATCTGCTGGTGGAGATGGTCTGATCTGAGGCCTGGTGCTAGGCGAGGCTGTCAGCCCTCTCTGCCCAAATCATGTGTTGCTCTGCTTCCAGTGTTTGGGGGGGGGTGGGGGGGGGGGTGGAGAAGAAGAAGAGAGAGAAAAGACAAAGACAAAAATCTTAATGCCACACACTGCCTGTCGATATTGCCACTCCCTTAATGAACCCGGAGCCACAGTAACAAGAATATCTGCCACAGACGTGCTGCAACAGATGTGTGAAGAGTTTTTACAGCGAGGCGAATGGACGCTCCTGGAATCACATGACTGCAAATTTACAAATCAGGGTTTAAAAAACAAAAAACAAATTTACTGTTCAAGAGTGCTGCGTTTTTTTTTTTTTCTTTTTTCCTCAACAGTTCTCTGAGCTGCTGGACAACAAAACCCCACCCTTCTCGTGGAAAACGAAATCCACAATGAAACACGTGCAGGAGACGCTCAAACTTGCGAATTTATCGTTCTCAAACCCACAAATCGGGACGTTAAACGGAGCGACGCCCGGTACCGAAATAAGAGAGACGAGTCCCGATATTGAACACACGAGGTATTCAGTGGAAATCACAAGAAAGGCATTCAACAGCATGAAGCATGTGATGTGCTGATTTGGTGACGCTAAGAAAGGACGGCACAATCGCTCTTCTGCTCCACAAACACATTAGCATGTAAATGTTTGAAAACCCCCAATCTGGCAACAAAAATGATGTAAAACACACGTTTTCATGGCTTTACTTATATTTGGGCAAACCGGGGGAGAAAAAAACGCACCGACTCAACGTAAAATGCCATTTTCAGACACTGTTCACATTAAGGAGAAGCTGGAAATCATAATTCAACGTAATGTGTGATTCAAAGTTTGACCTGACACTTAATATTTTTTTAGGTGGGGATGCGTCAAAAACATTTTCGCTACAACATCAAGTGCTTTCTGGAAAATGCCACAAACTTCACTTTGCTGCGGCGGAACCAGAACGGGCTTTGGATTGGACCAGACCTGCACATTAGTGTTGACACAAATTACTCTTTTTTTTTTTTTTTAGTCCTTTAAAAAAAAAAAAAAAACACAAAAAAAAAACTAAAAAAAGGTTAAATGCATTTAACCAGTTTGAAACACTGAAAAAAAAAAAAAAACATCTTTTTTATCCACACAGTTGGTGAAATAAATAAATGAAATTCTCTTTTATGTTCCTCTCTTGATTTTCTGTGCCAAGGTAACAGAAACACGTTAAACAATAGATGTGCCCCTGAGATGATGACTTTATTTTCTTTAGTGCAGCGAAGCACAAGACTTGAGAGAAAAGCCGAATTAAAGCGTTCCAACTGATAAGTTGCGTTCACGTTGCTTCTCTTCGGGTCATAAGCAACATTCGGAGGAACGCTAATCTCCCCATAACGTGCGTTTCGTGAAATCTTCCTGTCACCGAACGTATTTGATCATTAGATAAGGGCAAGTGACGACACGTTTAGCAGCACGGGGCGATGACTTGACGCCGACGTGTGTGACACAGCACATGAGCACGCACCACGGCTGGAAGAAAAACAGTTATTTCAGTGTGAAATTCCACTGAAGCACAAACTATTCTCCTCTTGTTTTAACAAGAATCACAATCACCCAGTCAGGACTGGTGATCATTAACCAACCAGACCTCACTGTGATTAGTTCACTCATTTAAAACTGATTTTTACCACAATAAAAGCCAGCAAAATGCCATATTTTACAGCTTCCTGTGTGATCTTGCTCTACGTACATGCTTGTATTCATTACAGCCCCAAATACTTGACCTTTTATTTTCCTGCAGGGGTTACCTTCCAACCGCTGCTGCTAATCTCCTTCTACCTTTGTGCACGCCTACTTTGAGACGTGTATATAAATATATATAACCCCTTTATGATCCCCCTCCCCTCCTCCTCCGCAGACATGTAAATGCACCTGCCTGAGGGTAAAGTGAGGTGAACGCTGGCAACAAAGGAGCAGGCCGAGGGAAGCGGGCTGCCGCTGCCCAGTCTGCCACTCACAACACTGATTCCATTTTAGCCGTGACACAGTGGGTGAGCAGCAGCCAGCGCCTACCTGCAGTGAATTCTAATCAGCCCAGGGGTCTGCTGCCACCCCCCACCCCCCCTCCTGTACCCTGCCTCGGACTAAAGGGGCTGATGATCCTTCAAAATTAATTAGATCCTTGTAGGAAGCGGCCATTTTCTTTCACTTGCTAATACTGGAAAGAAAAAAATCAAGATAAAATCTAACTTCATTCTACATGTCCCACCACCTCCACCACCACCACCACCTCCACCACCACCTCCACCTCCACCGTCGTCCCGCCGTATTGATTTCTTATGCTGCATCTATCTACATTTTTTCCTGTTTAATCAACTCTCCTTGTGTTTTGCTGCACACCTCTATTTATCAGTCTGTGCCCCCCCCCCCCCCCCCCCACCCCCCCCCCCCCACCACCCACCCCCTCCCCCCACCCCTCCCCTCACCCCGCCCCCCCTTTGGGTAGGGGGTGCCCCCCCCCCCCCCCCAATAAAAAAACCTTCCCCAACGACCCTCACTCACCCCTACGCCTCCTGCCCCCCTCCCCCTCCCTCTCTAGCTGCATCTCCCAGCTCTGTGTCTGCCTCTGTGGAGTTTACTGTCAATAAAATCCCCAGAGGTCAGTTTGTCTGCTGGAAATCAGACACAATGCTTCAGACCTCCCCAACGCAACGCATGCTCGGCTGCCGCCACCACAACAAAGGCTGAGGAGGGGCGGAGGATGAAGGCGAGGGGAGGAGAGAAGGGGGAAACAAAAAAAAAAAAAAAAAGGAAAAGAAAGAGGAGAAATTAAGACAGGGCGAAGATTGCAGCTCCACCAGCCAGACTCCAGGTTAATCAGCTGCCCGCGTTGGGCGACGAGCTCCTGAAAGACGCTGCACCGAATTGGACATTAGTTAATCAAGAGGGTGGGGTGCAGGGTGTGTGTGTGGCTGGGGGTTAAAATGGCGAGGATGGGGGATGGGGTTGAGAAAGAGACACATGCGGCGCGATAATAAAAAAGGAGCAGTATCAGCCCGTGTGAATAATGTACATGTTGAATATGCAAATAGGAGCATACATCCGAGGCCCCTGCTACGTGTAAAATCTGGAGACAAAGGGTGGGGGGCCTTTACGGAAAGCCCAGGTCCACGCTTGTGCGTACATCTTGATGAATCTGATGCAGATTTGCGCCCATCAAGAGCGCTTTGTGTTGCACCTTATTAGGAAGAAGTTGGTGTGAAAGCTCCCCTGCCTCCCCGTCCCTGCGCACATTCTAATAATTGATTTCAGTTTATTCAGCCCGTACGCATTAGCATGCAAACAACCAGAAATCAGGCTTCGCTCCGCCGCGGTCTAACGCCGTTCAGCTCATAGTCTAAATGTGAAGCAAGGCCATTTGGAAATGTTCTGCCACAATCAAGAGATGAAGTGCAGATTGGATAAGAGATAAGCGAGGGTGTGTTTTGATAAAGTACACTATGTTCATTTTAATCCTCGCGCACCACAGTATGCACACACGAGACATTGTTATCTACAACTTCTCTGATACACGCACACGCAATCTAATTAAATACCAGCATGTTGCATCCCGGTGTCCTTCCATCCACACAATATATATGTTTTAATTATTCATCTTCGGCCAACAAAGTTGTGATTGATGATTAAATTGGAGCACTTCAGAGCACCTGC